CCTGTAAACAATAGGGCGGTTATGGTCGCCTGAGCAATCTCGTGTTAACGGTTTACACGGGTGCTTTTAACATGGCAGTTCGACCGTCTGTTTTGATGAGTTTCACCGTGTGCCCCACGGAGGAACGGTGACTTGCACGGCATCTGCCGCACTTTCTCCTTTTTCGCACCTGGGCCCAGTGTCATGATTGCTTCAAGATGGCAGGAAGTGGGGGCGAGGGGGAAGCATTTGGCCGGCGAAGCCGAAGTTGCCTCTAGGCGGGCCGCAACACCTGGCTCAGATCCCACCCAGTAGGAGTGTCGTAGAGACTACATCAAGGAGCCGGTGCAGCTAATCCACACCAACACACACTGAACTGACAGCGAGGTCCGAGTTCAATCGTCAGTTCGAACCCTTCCAAGGCATGGCGTTTACCGCAACCTAAGTCTCAGTCTACGCGACCACATATGCAACAGGTGGAGGAGCCAAGACACACACACACACACACTTCCCCATTTGCATGAAAGATGCTGACCGCGTGCTTGCGTTGTGACACTGGGTGTGGTCACGTGATGTGGAGCTGTTGACAAGGTACTACCGACGAGTGACTGGGTCACCCGCCGTACGAAGTTCATCTTAGGCCACAAAATCAGAGACAGCCGGTTAACCCCTCGTGTCACTTAATTAGCAGTCGAGTGACAGTGAGCCAAATTGTCCAGTAATCGTCACGCCAATAATTGACAAAAGTGGTAAAATCACCGCAATTAACGATTCGGGTACGGACCCGCAAAACATAATCATTTCAAATACGAGCCTCGGCAATGAACACGACTACTACCAAATATAGAGGGCCGGCGGTCGCTTGACAACCGCTGCCTATTAACACTGCTCATCTTGTGCCCTGCCTAGCTACCATTTTCTGCGACCGATTCTGATGATGGGTTCGAGTGAGAGTCCGACACGTCAGGATAATAAAGCTTTTGGTAAGAACTCCAGTATACGGCCTTGGCGCGTGGCGGCGGGCACTAATTGAGGTGTTACCGACGAATAGAAGGAGGCCGCAAAGGACGTTTCCAGTTTACAGACAGTCCTCAGCCAGCCATGTTTTTACACCAGGCTGGAAAGACCTGAAACATGGACTCGGGTTTGTTGGTCACGCAACATTTAGTTGCAAGAGCAGTTGTGACCGGCAAATTTGCATGTCACATGGAACAGTGTTTATCGACTTATCGACCGATTATGCTGCGGCGCTTACACAACATCTCTCGGATAAGCTATGTGAACTGAAATAAACAGGGAAAAGCGGATAGGTACCTGAGAAAATGGCCGGCCTTTGGACCCTTCCAGCATCCACCAAAGCGAGAAGAGTAGTATGAGGGTCTGCATAGATGCATCCTGGCTGGGCATCCGTGGATAACCCACTCTGCGCTGTCTGAGGTTGCGACTTCATGGACTGCAGCAGCACTATCCGTGGGCTGATCCTCCGATTTCTCCGGGGCCCGCCAGATGCACTTGGTGGAATCAGTGGGGTCAGTGTGCAGTTCCCAAGAGGAGGTGTAGGTCTGGCTCTTGGTAGTGCATGACGTGGACTGCTTTCGGACACGCTTGCAGGGCGACTGGAGGTCATCGAAGCAAGTAGGCCGCTGGCGGGCATTCGGATCTGGGACTCGGAGAATGGGAACGGCAGGCTGTCCAGCCACCATGCCTAAGGTAGACTAAAGCACAGAAATGCGGAGGTGAAACACTGACGGAGATGAGATGGCATACGAGGGTTCAGTAAAGGCCACAATGTTTTGACGAGGAAGTGCATTCGTGACCACACGTTTAGTTCAGTTGGCACGATCTAGCGCACCTCCTACCAACTGCTGACATAATAAGGACTACAAATTTTTTTTCTAAAACAACAACTAAACCCGTGTATATTTAACTGTCTGAGAGATAATCGTGTGGTGCAGGCTAACGACAGCAGTGAAACGACCCAGTGGGAGCATGAACAGATATGGTAAGGGTCGGTCTTGTGTAAAGTTCCCGGATCGCGTTGTCAAGTTTACCTGACTGGCGAGCTCAAGGGCTGGACGCTTGGCTACCGATAGGCTGCACTAGAAGATGACTGTTGTGAACGTGGTTTGCTGGCGGTATGCAGCCACTATAATCTATCAACATGAGTCTTACAAACAAGTACAGGTGTTAAATTGTGATTAAAGGGTGTGAAAGCGGTAGGTTACTCCGTAAATACCTTTGAGGTTAAGATGGAGCTGACGACGGGTGCGCATGCCATAACGGCGTCTTCGGTGGCAGAAATCTTGCCTGATCCGGCAGGGATTTCGGGTCCTGCGACTGTCACCGTCCTCATCGCACCTAAGGTCACCCCTGAGCCCTGGGCTGGAAGTACAGGCAGTGCAGTAGCCCGTGGTGATTCTGGGGGAAGTGGGACAGGCTGTCCGTCGACTTCATTTAGACAGTAGGCCCCTCGACCAGGCGACAGGAGCTTCTGTGTCTAAAACAGAAAGCCAAGCATGCAACATGTGATTTCAGAATCCCCAACCGGTGAAACAAAACCACAAGAGGAGGCTTCAGAAAGCAAGCCTTCATCTTATTT